GTGCACTGCTCTGAGTATCCTGCCAGTCTCCTCCAGTTGTTAAAAATAAATGCTGAAATACTGTTCATTAATATAACCCAGAAGAAGAATCTCTTACTTCATGACCTGTGTCTGTTGCCCTGAAAGCAGCTGCTACATAATAGTAGGGGTCCAGTACAACAATTCATTCTTAAGAAGCAGCAAGGGAAATTGTCTCTAAATAGAGGACTGAACCAAGAGTGGATTTTTCCAGACTGTCACCGCCAATAAAATGAGGTTTTCAATTACAATGCTTAAGCACAGAGCAGCCTACACAGGGAACCCTATGCTCCAATGCTGCCAAGTGATATATGCTCTGCACTGCATTTGTCAAACCATTTCTTCTGCTAAGAGTTAATGTGTCAGGCTCAAAAATGGCTTGCTCTTCTACCACCTTTCCTGATGGATATGTGAAAAGCGCAACGTAAGTCCTTTTGCAAAACATTGTGTTGAGATTTTTGACTCCAAATGGACTGCCTCGTGGGGAAAGCCTGCTTTCTAGAAACTTAACACACAGTGACTGTTCTATCATAATTCTGCCTCACTGGAATAAAGAGGTCCAACAAGGGGAGAACAATCATTAAATAAAGTATTCAAAGGTGATTGCTGGGTGTAAGGGCAGCTTAAAAATGCTTGAAGTCTGAACGCTATTCTAAGCACTCAGGACCCAGCAAATTCTTTTGTTTTAGCTGTGATTACACTATCAGGTGATGATGACTGCAATAGACACTGCTGTGATAAAAATGAAATCACTATCCTTTCTGTTACAGAAACAAACATGCAAAGAGCAAATCTCACATGAAGATTGATCAAGAGCACATGAATAATTCCAGAAATGTACCCAAAGAGCAGCTTTCTGGATTAATTTTGCTGTAAATGCCAGCAACCAAACCCACCCACTGGTACCAATTGCACATCTCCGCTTCACCTCATCTTAATCAAATCACTAATTAGCTACACTGATCCTGAGGAGCATCACAGGATTTCCGTTCTTCATAGGAGCTTAATTCACTGTTTTCTTTCCAACATTAATGTCTGTCTGCACTTATCTAAGTACATTGTAACCACTAAATCACACAATCCATCATCTCTTTGTCAGTATCCCAGACAGAGAAGATCCTCTGAGAATATGCTTATAACATAAAGGTCACTCTAAAAGTTGACTAAAGGCATGAATAAAAAGTAAAACATTTAGTTAAGCCCTATGAGGAAATGAGGTTGCCATTACCCTTTACTGTTTAAGCAAGTTCTTCAACTGCTTTTCAACACTATTGTGACATCACGCAGAGAGTTTAAAGTCAGCTCCCAAGCATATAAAGAATCAAAGCCAAAATTCATCTTACCAACTTAAGTTTCAGAAAGTTAGCAGAGCAGTGAGAGATTAAGAATCATTATATACTTGGCAAATTGACCTATTTCCAAATGATGCTGTCACAGGATGATATGTGCAGTGGGCGTATTTTAACCAACAAAAGCTAGCAAGTGCCAAGAGCTACTGAATTTCCTGTTAAGAATTAAGAGCCCCTCCACACACATTTTCCACCACAATATATAGCCCATCTTTTTGTCAGCACAAGTCTTCCTTGAAAAATTAGGGTTGAAAAAAATCATCAGGCACAATTTCTCATGAAAGGTAAGGAAATTAAAGGAAATGAAAGAAGCCACAAAGTAAGAAGAGCTGATCTGAGGGTCCTACTGGCTAACGTGCTTCTGAAGCATAGTGCAATTCCAGTTTTATACTTGGTGCGTGAGTACCATGTAAAACAGGAGTGTGAAAATGTAAAAGTATGCAAGACAAATGACATTTTATCTTTAGACATAATCATCCCTCATGGGTGTCATCCCTACTTACCAATTAATCACTAGAGCATGAATATCCTAAGACAAGGCTAAAAATGGGGTGTAATTTTTCACTAAATATGCTTGAAACAGCCAGTACATTTCAGAAAGGAAAGAAGAGGTTTGTGATCTATTTGGTAGTTGCTTTGCCACAGAGAATCTGAATTTAGATCTCTGATGGCAGCATACAGTGATGGCTTGTGCCAGCCATCAGCAGAAACCTCAAGGTTTAGTAACATGACTGCAAGTGAGTCCATTGCCAAGACTCACCGAGTTACTCCTTTCTGGCTAAGTTAACAGCCACTGAGTAAATATGAAGTTCTAGCCATCACAAACATAAAATAAAATGCATAAGCACAAACCCCTTAGTGAAATGTTGCTTGAGCCCCTGAGACTTGGCACTTGTGATTGTATAAGCATACCCTCACTGTCTTAGCTAGTACAGACAATGTTAAACTTGTAAACAAAGCAAAATCAGTATTTCCAATCAGCTAGCAAAAGCAATGGGCACAGAGAGACAAATACCATCTCTGGAGCTCAAATTCATGTACCATACAGGTACCTAGTTCTAGCTTATGAAAGTCCACATCTTCCAATACCTGAAAGTGAACTTACTGATCCGATAGTTGGTTGCTAATGTATGTTCTACCTTCTCAGTATTGCAAGTGAGGTTATCTAAACAGCATTCTACCCAATCATCCATTTAACTGTACTGCTTTGCCTCACAGTAAAAGTCAAGCTGTCTGGATCTAGCAAATGTTGCAAGATGGGGTTTTTTTTTAGTTTTGGCAGAACGATTAAAAAAAAACCCAAAACCAAACAGAAGAGCTTGATTTTCCTTAGTTAAGATACCCACAGGGAAAAATATTACATTCACATATCAAGCTTGTGATTTGCTTAATGAGAAAATAAGACACACTACCTGGATGTAGGCTCTGAAAGAAAAAGGCAGTTGAAGATGGTGTATAGTTGTTCGCAGGAAAAGATCAAAATTTCATCACAAAAAAGCAGTTTTCATTTCTTCTGCATGTACAGCTTATCTGCTTTTGTGCACAATAATGCTACTAGACCTGTTACCTAGATTATGCCATTGCTCTTGAGTTTTAACACCTAAAACCAATTGCAAAGAGAAAAAAAGTCTGTAGGAGGTGGCATCCTAGTATTTCTAACATCACATATTCAGAGACAAGTGGAAATAAAGGGGACTATTTTT